ATACACCTCCACGTATAGATCATTACATATTTAAGCAAATTATTCACATCGTCAGCGGTGGACAGAACGCAAAAAAGACTCTGATCGCTCTTTTTTTTTTTAAATTACAAGAACTACTTCTTTGTGGTACTGCGCACACAGTAAGATAAAAATATTTAATGAGCAACTGCCATTGATCATTCGCCTAAGGGAGATATTTACTTTACGACCCTAGAATCTTCCAGTCTATACGCAAGTTTTCAACAACGTACATCAAACTGTGGTTGAAGAATATAATTTCAGTGAAAGCATATGTTCTATATACAGTGACAAGAGTATCTCCAGGTTTTGATGCCCTGGCTTGTACATAAACAACAGCAGAGAAAGAAATTATGGCGAGTAAACGTACGATTAATCGCACGGTAGAACTTATGCTGACTATGTTCGGTGTCTGGCCAGGTATATCATGCGTACTACTCTACAGAGTGTTTTGGATGATTACGTTAGCCATTAATCAATTCTTGCACTACCGGTACTTTGTAACACATTTTCATTTCGACAATCTTTTCGACTTGATGGACTGTTTGAGTAGCTTCTTGGCGCATGTAAAACTGACCGTTAAACTCATGATCTTCTCGTTAAAACAGCGGTAAGGGCCACTTGAAAAAATTAACTGTTGGAAAATTTTGTAAAGAAAGGCAAAAATAACATTGCGGAAATGTGCTACAATTATTTCGAAACACTCGATCGTTTGTAGAAAATTTATCGAAATCTTAACGATGACAGCGGAAGATTGGAAAGATTGTGATAACACTGACGTTGAGTTGCGCGAAACGGCAAGGAAAGCGAAACTATCGAGTCGTATTTGTAATGGATTAATTATTCTTCATACAATCGCCGCGTTTGCATACGTCGTTGGCATTCTCTTAGCCGATGCCGACGTCACAGATCCAACAGCTGAACTGCCACTCATGATGAAAATGGAATATCCCTTCGGTATAGACACGCAACGCAAGTACAGACTGGTATTAGCTACGCAATTCGTTTTCGTGATGGTGTGCAGTTGGGGAGCTGGTTTATTCAACGCCTTGTTTCTAACTCTGGTAACCCGCACCTACATAAGCAAGTATCGTGAGCAAAATATAATTATATTTATAATTAGTGCCCATGTCAATTAATCCATATAAATGTTAAGCTGCAAATTCGAGAAAAATTGAATATCAATCTATTTCAGTTTTTAATTCGCATGCGTGCATTTTTATTCCTATCTTTATAGATAAAAATATATAATTGTAATCACGTTGTCATAAATGACAGAGTTTTGATTTCTAGACTCTCCACGTGGGCAGTCAAATAAACATCCTGCTTTGCTGGTTGACGGAAGTCGGATATAAGGACATTAATAATAGAACGAATGAATCATTCTTCACTGGCATGGCAAAAATTATCCGGAAACATCAAAGTATTATCAATCTCTCAGAAAAAATTGAAAATCTTTATTCGTACATAGCCTTGCTGCAATTCACATCAAATACGGTCATGATTTGCTCATTGGGATTTCTGATAGTAACTGTGAGTAAACATATTAATATTAAAATTTCAAATATAAAAATATGTATACCACTTTAGAGTCAATTACATGAGCGAACTTTTCATGCATTAATCTTTATTATGTATACATATATCGTTTTAATTAATTTATTATTTTCATTTTTAACTTTTTATACGTAAATATGTTCATTTTCAATTCTGTTTCAACATTGCAGGCAATCGGAAGTCCCGATGCCAGTGAAAAAATAGTGAGGTCGCTTTTATTTTACGCTGTAACAAATCTCGAAGCATTTATATTTTGCTTCGCTGGAGAATATCTAAGCAATAAGGTTAGCAACAAAAAAAAGATTAATGTGATATTAATAAAAGAGACACGTAGATATTCCTATGTTTGTTGTACAACTAATATATTATATGTATATTAAAGAAATACTGTAGAATTCTTTCTGTTATTAATTTTATTTTTATAGAGCAAAGCGATAGGAAACGCAGCGTACAATTCTGCTTGGTACGATATGAAAGCTAAGGACAGTCGGGTTCTATTGTTTATAATTTTAAGATCGCAAAGGCAATTGCAACTTACAGCGGGCAAGATGGCTGTTCTTTCTTTAGAATACTTCACAACTGTAAGATACGTGATAATTATAAAAAAACATATCTTAATTAAAACTTTTATATATACTATGCCATAGTTACCTATATTTTTGTTATCGATCATAATATTTCTGGTATTTAACATAGCGAATAATAATATTAATATATTTTAAAGTAGGTTTTCCTAGGATATAAATTTCTTTACATATATATATCATAATGTACAATATTATTTTTTATCGCTAATGAGGACAACATTTTTACAGATCATGAAGGCTTCGGGATCGTATTTGTCAGTACTGCTGGCAATGAAATGAACGCCTTAATATCCATCATGTGTATATATATATATATATATATATATATATATACATAATAAATATTTTTTTAATGTATACTTTTAGACTAATGTAATATACACAGTTACTAACTGATATAGAAAACTGTAATACAGAAGTCGCGATATTCCTTTCGCTAGTGTGGGCCAAACTATGTGTATCTATACGGCTTTTGTGTAGAACATAGGTTTTTAATCCTCCAAATAAATTTTCGTGCATATAAACACATTGGCCCGTATTCTGAACGCACTTTTATCGATAAATGCGCGCATGACTGCACACGCATTTTTGCTTATGCACTTTATGCACTTATTTATTTCTTGTAATTATCACCATCGCACATAGATACGCTGCGAATTGCATGCGAGAAAACTCACATACTTTCGTAATGGTTGGGTTTCTTTTTTTCGCTGTTTAAAAAAAATCTATCATATCAAATTTCAGTCAATTTGATAGACACCATTACCGATCGGCTTTCTGCAATTTGATAACATCTGACACTTTAGTAACAATAGATTTAAAAAAAAAAAGTCAGTGGACAGATATAAAAAAGTGGAAACCAAAAAAGTATAGAACAAATTCCTATATGAACACCATCAATCCATCTATAGAATTTCCACTTCTTATTTTGGAAATATTGCCGGACTTACTGTACATTTCATTCTGTGACAGCTTTAAACGATTACTATCTTGGCCAATCTTTTCATTATCTTATGCACTCAACCGTACGCGATCAATTTTTCTCATGTATGACTCAAGTGTAACTTCGAGTTTTAACCAATTTTTTTTAATTCATCATTTTCTAGATTAATCAATAGTGAGACGTATAACAATTATAAATTGATACAAAGGTATTAAAAGTATTTCACAGAAAAAGATACTACGTTATTTTTAATTATATAATATGTGAATTGTGAATGTCTCACATAAAAGATATCTTTTGACAGGTGCTCTTCAAAACTTTTTCCGGAGTATGATGAACTTCTTCATTTATGTGAGAGAGATTGATATATCACAAGCATCGAGAACTCGAAGAGTCGTACGAGTAATATACATCCACGATACTTAATAATTTTACAATATATTTTCCCTTGCTTTATGCCTCATGTCTCATATATTTTACTGATACCTTAGGGCAAATATAATTTTAGTATGCAATCGCGTACGGTACACAATGTTTCATATGGTACTCTAAATTATTAAAGTAAATAAGTCGCGCAAATGCGTAGTGAGCGACTCACATAAAAAAAATTCTAAGAAGTTTAGACATTATAACAGTTTAACGACATTTTTTGCACTGTTTATTGTGCAATCACCTAGCCATTTTCTTTTAGCTTTTTCCCTCGAATTTTTTTCTGTCCTCTAGATCTTGAAACCTTTTCAAAGATCATTAAATGCAACTTGCCACTGGATATACGCATATCCAGTGGCATCTATACGCCGCGTATAGATCATTACGTATTTAAGCAAATTAGCGGAGAAAACGCACGACCACTCTGTTCGCTCCCTCTTTCTTTTTAAATTGCAAGAGGCTATTTCTGCTTAGGGTGCACACAGCAGGATAATAATATTTAATGAGCAACTGCTATTGATCAATTGCTTAACGGAGATATTTACTTCACAATGCTCCTAGAAATTGCCAGTCTTCACGCAAATTTTCCACAACGTTCATAAACTGTGGTTGGAGAATATCATTTGAGCGAGAACATATGTTTTATTTCGACGAGAGTGTTTCTTACAGTGGAATTTGGTGTCCGGGCTTTTACATAGACAATACTAGAGATAAAGATTATGACGACTAGACGTACGATCAATCGCATGATGCAACTCATGCTGATCATGTTCGGTTACTGGCCAGGTATATCATGCGTGCTATTCTACAGAATGTTTTGGATGACAACGCTAGCAATTACTGAATACTTTCATTGCCAGTACTTTGTAATGCATTTTCGTTTCCATAACCTTTTCAACTTGATGGATTGTTTGAGTAGCTTTTTGGCGTTTATAAAACTGTTCTCTAAGCTCTTAATTTTCTGGTTGAAACAGCGGTAAGAGACATTTAATAAATTAAACCATTAGTACTTTGTAAAAGAAAGGATAATAACATTCTGAAAATATACAGTAGCTATCTCGAAATACTTAATTAACTTGACCGTTTATAGAACATTTTTCGAAATCTTAACGATGATGGCAAAAGACTGGAGTGATTGCGATAACACTGGCGTTGAGTTGCGCGAAACGGCAAGGAAAGCGAAATTATCGAGTCGTATTGGCAATGGAATAATTATTCTTCAGACAATGGCCACGCTTGCATACGTCATTGGCATTTTCCTGGCGTCGTTCGACGTCGACGTCACCGATCGAACAGTTGAACTGCCTCTAATTTTTAAAATGGAATACCCCTTCGTTATAGATACGCAACGCAAATACAGACTGGTATTAGCTACGCAATTCCTTTCCGTAGCAATGTGCAGTTGGAGTGCTAATTTATTCAACGCGTTGTTTTTAACTCTGGTAACCTGCACCTGCATAAACAAGTATTATAAGCAATATATAATTATATTCATAATTAATAACCTACAACAAATTATCTATATAAATGTTAGACTGTAAATTCGAGAAAAATTAAATACGTATATCAGATTCTAATTTGCCGATGTGCATTTTGTAAAAATTATTTTCTATAACATTCCTAATGTTTATAGGTAAATTAAGCAATTGTAATCACGTTTGATTTATAGACTCTACACGTGGGCAGTCAAATAAACATCCTGATTTGCTGGTTGGGAGAAGTTGGATCTAAAGATATCGAGAAAACGCATGACCGGCATGACTCATTCGTTACTGTCATTACGAAGATTGTTCGGAAACATCAAAAAATTATTAATCTCTCAGAGAACATTGAAAATCTCTATTCATATATCGCTTTGGTGCTATTCATATCAAATACGGTGATGATTTGCTCATTAGGATTTCTCGTTGTAACCGTGAGTAAACTTGTTATAATTTTAAATGTAAAAATATATATTCCATTTTAGAGTAAATTACATGAGTTAACTTTTTATGCATTAATCTCTATTATGTATACATACCTGTATCATTTTAATTAATTTATTATTTTTATTTACAACTTTATTCATGCATAAATGTGTTCGTTTTCAATTATGTTCCAACATTGTAGGCAATCGGAAGCCCCGACGCCAGTAAACAAATAACGAGGTCTATTTTATTTTACATTGTAACAAGCCTTGAAGCATTTGTATTTTGCTTCGCTGGAGAATATCTGAGCAAAAAGGTTAGCAACGAAAGATTACCGTGATAATAATAATAAAAGAAACATGTATAAGATATTCCCTACATGGAAAGAACGGTTTTGCTGCAGTATCTAAAAATTTATCTTGATACAGAACTGAAAATAATTTTGTTGCACCATCAAAATAATTATGTAGAGTACTCAACTGATTGCTAAAATGCCAAAATTTTTTACAGCGTTATCATCATACTGATCAGTGACCTACTATAATTATTTGGATGGTGCAACAAAATTATTTTAATTTTTGTATCAAGGTAAATTTTTAGATACTTCAGCAAAACCGTTCTTTCCGTGTGTGTTTGTTATTAAAACTAATATTATAAAGAGCAATACTATAAAATTCTTTCTGTTATTAATTTTTTTTTCATAGAGCAAAGCGATCGGAAACGCAGCGTACAATTCCGCTTGGTACGACATGAAAGCTAAAAATAGGCAGGTTCTGTTGTTTATAATTTTAAGATCGCAAAGGCAATTGCAGTTTACAGCGGGCAAGATGGCTGTTCTCTCCTTAGAATACTTCACAACTGTAAGATACGTAATTAATAATTATTTAAAAAAAAACATCTTAATTGAAACTTTTAAGTGCAATGACATAGTTACCTATGTTTTTGTTATCTACCATAATATTTCTGGTATTTAACATACATTTGTACATAACAAATAATTATTATCGTTTGAAGTAAATCTTTCTAGCATATAATTTTTTCACATATATTGTTCTTTATCGCTAATGAGGGCAACATTTTTGTAGATTATGAAAGCTTCGGGATCGTATTTATCAGTACTGCTGGCAATGAAATAAGCGCGCCGTAATATATATCCTTCCTAAATAATAGTCGTCAAGTAACGAACCAAAATCATATCTGTTGATTTCTCTAATTAAAAAACCATATTAGGACACAGTATATACATACGTATACATATATATTATTGTATATATATATATATATGTATGTATGTAGAATGTATGTATATATATACACACACATAAATATTTTTTAAATGTATACTTCTAGACCAACGTAATATGCATAATTACTATCTGTATACAAAAAATTACAACACAAAAATCGTAATATTCTTTTCGTGTGAAGAACTTTGTTCTTCTGCGGCTACTGTCTGTGACACAGATTCTCAATCCTTTAAATAAATCCGCTCACATAAACACATTTTATATTTAAGCCATGGCATATTTATCTAAATACTCTAAGCACTTGTTAATTTTTGTTAAATACCACCACACCCCCCCATACATAGATGCACTGCTGATAGCCATGTATGCGAGATAACTCATATGCTTTCGTAACACTTCGATTTCACCGCTGCTTTTCCACTGTCCTAACGAATGAACTTCAAAAACTTTTTGCAAAGTATGCTGAACTTCTACATTTATATGAAAGAGGTTGGTAGATCACAAGTATCGAGAACTGGAAGAGTCGTACGAGTGATTTACACACACGATACTTGATAATTTTATATTTTTCTTCGCTATATGCCTACATCTCAAACTTTTTAATTTTATTGAGACCTTAGGGCAAATATAATTTTAGTATACAATCGCGTACGGTCTACAATGTTTCATATGGTACTCTACATTATTAAAGCAAATAAGTCGCGCAAATGCGCAGTGAGCGACTCACATGAAAGAAATTCTAAGAAGTTAAGACATTATGACAGTTTAACGACGTTTTTTGCACTGTTTATTGTGCAATCACCTGACCATTTTCTTTAGTTTTTCCCCTCGAATTTTTTATCTGTCCTCTAAGTCTTGAAACTTTTTCGAAGATTACTAGATGCGACTGGCCACTGGATATACGCATGTCGCCGCGTATAGATCATTACGTATTTAAGCAAATTATTCACGATCGTGCATTGTTAGCGGAGGAAACGTACGACCACTCTGTTCGCTCTCTTTTTTTTTAAATTGCAAGAGGCTATTTCTTCTTAGGGTGCACACAGCAGGATAATAATATTTAATGAGCAACTGCTATTGATCAATTGCCTAACGGAGATATTTACCTCACAATGCTCCTAGAATTTGCCAGTCTACATGCAAATTTTCCACAACGTTCATCAACATGTGGTTGGAAAATAACATTTGAGCGAGAGCATATGTTCTATTTCGACGAGGGCGTTTCTAATAGTGGTGTTTCTTGGTGTCCGGGCTTGTACATAGACAATACTAGAGAAAAAGATTATGACGAGTAGACGTACGCTCAATCGCACGGTCGAACTCATGCTGACCATGTTCGGTTACTGGCCAGGTATATCATGCGTGCTATTCTACAGAATGTTTTGGATGATAACACTAGCAATTACTGAATACTTTCATTGCCAGTACCTTGCAATGCATTTTCGTTTCCTTAATCTTTTCGACTTGATGGATTGTTTGAGTAGCTTCTTGGCATTTATAAAAATGTCTTTTAGGCTCTTTATTTTCTGGTTGAAACAGCGGTAAGAAACACTTAATAAATTTTGTAAAGAAAAGGATAATACCATTCTAAAAATATGCAATAGCTATCTCGAAATACTTGATCGTTTGTAGGACATTTTTCGAAATCTTAACGATGACGGCAGAAGACTGGAATGATTATGATAACACTGGCGTTGAGTTGCGCGAAACGGCAAGGAAAGCAAAACTATCGAGTTATATTTGCAATGGAATAATTATTCTTCATACAATCGCCTCGCTTGCATACGTCATTGGCATTATCCTGGCCGATGCCGACGTCACCGATCAAACGGCTGAACTGCCTCTTATTTTAAAAATGGAATACCCCTTCGTTATAGACACGCAACGAAAGTACAGACTGGTATTAGCTACGCAACTCATTTTCGTGATGGTGGGCAGTTGGGGAGCTGGTTTATTCAACGCCTTGTTTCTGACTCTGGTAACCTGCACCTACATAAGCAAGTATCGTGAGCAAAATATAATTATATTCATAATTAGTGCCCATGTCAAATGATCCATATAAATGTTAGGCTGCAAATTTGAGAAAAATTGAATACCAATTTATTTCAGTTTTTAATTCGCACGCGTGCATTATTATTCCCATTTTTATAGATAAAATATATAATTGTAATCACGTTGTCATAAATAACAGAATTTTGATTTATAGACTCTACACGTGGGCAGTCAAATAAACATCCTGCTTTGCTGGTTGAGGGAAGTCGGATCTAAAGATATCGAGATAACGCATGACTCATTCGTTACTACCATGATAAAAATTGTTCGGAAACATCAAAAAATTATCAACCTCTCGGAGAACATTGAAAATCTTTATTCATATATCGCTTTGTTGCAATTCACATCAAATATGGTAATGATTTGCTCATTGGGATTTCTCACTGTAACCGTAAGTAAACTTATTAAATTTCAAATGTAAAAATATGTGTTCTCTACTTTCGAGTCAGTCACTTTGGTTTGTTGTTTATACTTTGATCTTTGTATGTATCATATTAACACTGCGCGGACACTGTGTTTTTGGAGCACTCACTCGGACACCCTAGGACTTTTAAGAATGAAGGGTTCTGAAAAACGTTTCTGTTACAAAAAAATCTATAAAAATTCGTGTATTATACGGTTTCAAAAAGTGATTTCTATATTTACATAAGCCGGAACTGTTGCAATTCGCTTCGCAAGCGCTGCCATTCCTGTGAAAATCATAAATATAAAATCGACTATGCCTTAAAAGTCCGCCCACAGTGTCCGCATAGTGTTAATTAATTTATTATGATTATCTAAATTACTATTTATAATTTTCCATGCATGAATGTGTTTTCATTCTGTTTCAACATTGCAGGCTATCGGAAGCCCCGACGCCACTGAAAAAATTGTGAGGTCTCTTTTATTTTACACTATAACTAATCTCGAAGCGTTTATATTTTGCTTCGCTGGAGAATATCTTAGCAATAAGGTTAGCAAAAAAAGATTACTGTGATCCACTTTTAAAAAGAGCATTTCATCGATCATTTACTCGAATCTATCGAAGTATTGTTGTTGCTTTTCCACGATGCCGATTAATTTTCACGTTGCGCTTACTTCATGAGCGGCTGTCATGGCATATTTTGACAGTTGTGTGGTAAAAGTGTAATAGTAACAGTAAAATATTAAAGCTAAATAGCACGCGCGTAGCGCGCCTCTGTGATCTCAAGTAATAATAAAAGAAACATGTAGATATTCCTGTGCTTGTTGTAACTAATATTAATGTATAGAGAAATATATTGTAGAAGAAAAATATTGTAGAATTCTTTCTGTTACTAATTTTATTTTTATAGAGCAAAGCGATCGGAAACGCAGCGTACAATTCTGCTTGGTATGATATGAAAGCTAAGGATAGTCGGGTTCTATTGTTTATCATTTTAAGATCGCAGAGGCAATTGCAGTTTACAGCGGGCAAGATGGCTGTTCTCTCCTTCGAATACTTCACAACTGTAAGATACGTAATAATTATTCAAAAAAACATATCTTAATTGAAACTTTTATGTACAATAATTATTACCTATATTTTTGTTATTTATCATAATATATCTGATATTTGACCTAGCGAATAATATTATTATTATTTAATGTAGATTTTTCTAGCATATAAATTTTTTCACATATCATAATAATGCACATTGTTCTTTATCGCTAATAAGGACAACATTTTTATAGATCATGAAGGCCTCGGGATCGTATTTATCAGTATTGCTGGCAATGAAATAAACGCCTTGATATACATAATAAATATTTTTTTAAATGTATACCTTTAGATCAACGTAATATACACAGTTAATAACTGATATAATGAAAACCGTAACATAAAAATCGTGATATTCTTTTCGCTAGTGTGAGCCGAAATATGTGTACCTATACGGTTTTTGTGTAGAACACAGCTTTTTAATCCTCCAAATAAATTTCCGTGCATATGAACACATTGGTCACCGCTGCACATGTTATTTTGCTTATGCACTCTATGTTGTTGATTTCTTGTAAATATCACCATCGCACACAGATACGCTGCGAATTGCATGCGAGAAAACGCACATACTTTCGTAACGGTTGGGTTTCTTCACTGTTTCTCCACTGCTCCGGTGCATGAGGTTCGAAACTTTTCCGAAGTACGCTGAAATACGACTGACTGTCGGCCGTGCACGTCGCCGCGATCGCGTTCGCACGAATCATTGCATATTTAAATACGCGATTACATCACCGCGCTCGAGGAAAAATGACAAGGGCAGGACCCTACGTGTTCTCCCTCATCTTGTATCAATGTTGTGAGAAGCTACGGTAAGCGTATACAAGCGAGGGCTGCATACGACGCAAAAAAAAATTTAATGAGATAATACTCCCATTGATCGATCCTGGTAGGCAGCGTCCATTTGATGATCTCGTAGAACTTCCCTGTCTTTACGTAGATATTCAAGTTCAGAATACACATCAAAAGTCCTCATTGGCAAATACGTTGAGTGACAAAGAGAGAAAGATAAAAAAAGAACACAGTTCCTTCACCTTCCTGAAAAAGCGTTTGTCCTGTTAAGTATAAATAAATACTATCCCTCGCTTAAAAAAGAGAGCAAAAGAGAAATAAATTATAATTACGACGCGTAGAAGTACAATTACCTAGGAAGAACAAAAAAGTCCAAATGATGCCAATTTAACATCATATCGACCAAACTGCGACATTTACTGGTCAATATGACGTTAAATTAATATCATTTTGACATTTCTGTTCTCCTTGGGTAATCACACGTTACATTATTTAAAGTTCACTCTGTGCGATATATGATCAGGCACGTCGTGTATTATGATCTGCAAAGCGTAAAAGATTATCACGTTAGCACGAGATGAATTTTGCCATTACCGTTATCTTTTAATGCATATAAACTCTAACGATTTTTTTAATTTGATGTACCGTTTTAGTAGATTTATAACGCAAATAAATTTACGATTAAATTGATTACATTCTTGCTGAATGAACGGTAAGTAACGCTATCCTTAATATATATATATATTATATATAATTTGCATATGTATTACTCAACAATAATTCGACGAATAAACGATACCCAACATAATTCTCTGTCGATATCTTCTATATATTTAGTGCATCTATATTATAATTAATATATATATAAATAAGAAAATATTTAAACATTTAAAAATATTTGCTATTTTTAAAAATTTTGTCGATAAGTGCATACTTTTTTTACTTCTTTCGAATATATGAGAATAACAAAAATAGAATATAGTTTATATAGAAATTAAAAACAAAAATATATAAATGTTAATTTAACTATAGAAATGCTTTGTAATATGCTTCTCTATATAAGCTTCTGTCTAACAACTTCTGTGTGTTACAGCATATACAGGTGGTGGAATTATTTATGATACCAATAAATAATTTCTAGAAAATTCATCAAGATCTTGACGATGATAACAGAAGATTGGAACAATTGCGCATACTAGCCAAATTAGCAGACCGTATCACTAATGAGATGTTCATTTTTCACACGTTGACGATCGTTGCGTATAGTATTGGCACCTTTTTGGCTGACGTCGACGTTGCCAATCAATCCGAATTACGTCTTCTCTTAAAGGTGAAGCTTCCTGTCGACATAAACACAAAACGCATGTATAAAACGCTATTGACCATGCAATTCGTGCATCTGATTATGTCCGATTGTGGAACGGGTCTACTGAACGCCTTGCTCTTAACTTTGGTAAGTTGCAATGCGTGCGAAATGCACTTGTCATAAATAATACAATTTTATACGGATAAAAAAAATGGAAACAAAAAAAGTATAGAACACCATCGACCGATCTATATATAGAATTTCCGCTTCTTATTTTTGCAATATTGCCGGACTCACTGTACACTTCATTCTGTAGACTGATTTGGATTACCATCTTGGCCACTTTTTTCATTATCGATATTTTATTATGCTCTCATACACGATCGATTTTTCTAATGTATGACAATTAAGTACAACTTTTAACCAATTTTTTTTTTAATTTATGTAGCTTCAGTCATTTTCTGGCTTAATCAGTGGTGAAACGTATAACAGTTATAATTTGATACAAAGGTATTAAAAGTATTTCACAAAAAAGAATACTACGTTATTTTTAATAATTTTATTTTTTCCTTTGCTCTATGCCTTACATCTCATACCTTTTACCGTGACCTAAGGGCAAATATAATTTTAGATATGCAATCGCGTACAGTACGCAATATGTTTCATATGGTACTCGGTACTCTGAATTATTAAAGCAAATAAGTCGCGGAAATGCGCAGTGAGCGACTCACATTAAAGAAATTCTAAGAAGTTAAGACATTATAACAGTTTAATGACATTTGTGCACGGTGTTTTGCGCAATTACCTGGCCATTTCCTTTGGCTTTTTCTCTCGAGAATCTCTTTTCTGTTCTCTAGATCTTAAAACTTTTTCAATTATCACTGGATGTGACTTGATATACGCACTGGATATACGCACATCGCCACGTATAGATCATTACATATTTAAGCAAATTATTCACGAGTGCATTGTCAGCAGAGAAAACGCAAGACCACTCTGTTCGCTCTCTTTTTTTTTAAATTGCAAAAGGCTATTTCTTCTTAGGGTGCACACAGCAGAATAAAAATATTTAATGAGCAACTGCTATTGATCAGTTGCTTAACGGAGATATTTACTTCACAATGCCCCTAGAATTTTTCAGTCTTCACGCAAATGTTCCACAACACACATCAAACTGTGGTTGGAGAACATCATTTGAGCGAGAGCATATGTTTCTTATACTTCCACGAGAGTGTTTCTAACAGAATTTGGTGCCCGGGCTTGTACATAGACAATACTAGAAAAAAAGATTATGACGAGTAAACGTACGATCAATCGCACGCTACAACTCATGCTGATCATGTTCGGTTACTGGCCAGGTATATCATGCGCACTACTCAACAGAGTGTTTTGGATGATAATTATAGGAATTACTGAATTCGGTCATTGCCTGTACTTTGTAATGCATTTTCGTTTGCATAACCTTTTCAACTTGATGGATTGTGTGAGTAGCTTCTTGGCGGTTATAAAACTGTTCACTAGACTCTTCACTCTCTGGTTGAAACAGCGGTAAGAGACATTTAATAAATTAAACCATTAGAACTTTGTAAAAAAAAAAGATAATAACATTCTGAAAATATGCAGTAACTATCTCAAAATATTTGATCGTTTGTAGGAAATTTCTTGAAATCTTGACGATGATGGCAAAAGACTGGAATGATTGCGATAACACTGGCATTGAGTTGCGCGAAACGGCAAGGAAAGCGAAACTATCGAGTCGTATTAGCAATGGATTAATTATTCTTCAGACAATAACCACGTCTGCATACGTCATTGGCATTCTCCTGGCATCGTTCCATGTCGACGTCACCGATCGAACGCTTGAACTGCCTCTCATTTTTAAAATGGAATACCCCTTCGTTATAGACACGCAACGCAAGTACAGACTGGTATTAGCTACGCAACTCCTTTCCGTAGCAGTGTGCAGTTGGAGCACTGGTTTATTCAACGCGTTGTTTCTAACTCTGGTAACCTGCATAAACAAGTATTATATGCAATATATACACAGTAAAAAATAAAACATAATTTTAACATTTTTTACATGAATGCAAGTCCACTCTAAATTTTAAGTTAAAATGACTCATTCATCATGTGTTACTTGTTGACAAATTAGAAGTGAAATTAGAAGTGTTAATTAATTAACACTATACTTTACATTTATATTTGTTCTTTTGACTTTATTTTTTAAGTTATATTAACACATGATATTAAGGCTCCTGGGTAGTCACCGCGGCCATATTGGATTTTTACTATCGAGGCGAGGAAAACACCTAATTTTAAGTTGCGGTATTCTCCGAAATAAAAAGACATTTCAATAAAAAATCACGACAGATCGTTTCAGCACACTTCAAAAATTGACCGGATACTATCCTTTTCCCTCGACAATAAACAAACAGCCATAAAACGAAGCCTAAACATACGGAAAACAAGCCGTTTGACGACTATCGAAAGGAGTGGTGAATGTTCCTTCCGCATATATATTTCTTGCAAATCTTACCATACGGTCAATTTTACGAGTTTTACGAATACGTTAAACGTTAGAGCACAAGTACAGAGCAAATAATAAAGAAATATACCGCAACTTAAAATAAGGTTGTCAACATGTCACAAGACAAAATTCTCCATTGGAGAGAGTGAGAGGAGAGAGTTCTTATTTCTGCCGCGACGGTACGGCGCTACCGTCAACGCAGAGTTCTCGGCTCAGGGACCAGGAGCCTTAATTATTTTATTTAAATTATGTGTAATAAAAACATTTAATTTTAGTAAATTTAATTATTTTGTATGTCAAAGTTTACAATTACTTGAAAATTTACGTTTAATTTTTGTTTATGTGTTAAAATAACTTTAAGACGTGTTGATTTTTTAAAGTAATTGTGTTAAAAAAACTCAAAATAATATTTAATTTTTAAATGACATAGTGTTAAGTTATCACGTTGACATAAATGTAACACACGAAAATGTTAAAGAAAAAATAACATAGCTGTTGTATGTTATTTTTATATTGAAATAATAATTATAATCAAATCTTGGTGACACAAGAAAATTTTAACATATGGACCGCTATGTACACACGATTTTTTACTGTGTAATTATATTCATAAATAATAACACAACAAATTATCTATATAAATGTCAGACTGTAAATTCAAGAAAAATTAAATACGTATATCAGATTCTAATTCGCCAATGTGCATTTTTTAAAAATTATTTCTTATAACATTCCTGGTCTTTATAGGTAAAGTAAACAATTGTAATCACGTTTGATTTAATAGACTCTACACGTGGGCAGTCAAATAAACATCCTGATTTGTTGGTTGAAAGAAGTTGGATCTAAAGATAACGAGAAAACACATGACTCATTCGTTACTGTCATTACGAAGATTGTTCGGAAACATCAAAAAATCATTAACCTCTCAGAGAACATTGAAAATCTCTATTCATATATCGCTTTGGTGCAATTCTTATCAAATACGGTGATGATTTGCTCAATAGGATTTCTTGTTGTAACCGTGAGTAAACTTATTATAATTTTAAATATAAAAATATGTATTCTCTCTCTCCATTTTAGAGTCAATTACATGAGTTAACTTTTCATGCATTAATCTCGATTATGTATACATATATCATTTTAATAAATTTATTAATTTCATTTTTAACTTTTCATGCGTAAATATGTTCATTTGCAATTCTGTTTTAACATTGCAGGCAATCGGAAGTCCCAATGCCAGTGTAAAAATAGTGAGGTCTCTTTTATTTTACGCTGTAACAAATCTCGAAGCGTTTATATTTTGCTTCTCTGGAGAATATCTAAGCAATAAGGTTAGCAACGGAAAAAAGATTAATGTGATAACAATAAAAAAGACATGTATATATTCCCTGCACGGAAAAAACGGTTTTGCTGAATCTAAAAATTTAGCTTGATACAGAACTGAAAATAATTTTGTTGCACTATCAAAATAATTATGTAGAGCACTCAAACTGATTGCTAAAATGCCAAAAATTTTTTTACAGTATTATCATCATACTGATCAGCGACCTACTATAATTATTTTGATAGTGCAACAAAATTATTTTCAGTTCCATCCACAGTTTCTGTATTAAGCTAAAGTTTTAGACAATTCAGCAAAACCGTTCTTTCCGTGTGTGTTTGTTGTTAGAACTAATATTATAAAATGCAATACTATAGAATTCTTTCTGTTATTAATTTTATTTTTATAGAGCAAAGCGATCGGAAACGCAGCGTACAATTCCGCTTGGTATGACATGAAAGCTAAAGATAGGCGGGTTCTATTATTTATAATTTTAAGATCGCAAAGACAATTGCAGTTTACAGCGGGCAAGATGGCTGTTCTCTCCTTAGAATACTTCACAACTGTAAGATACGTACAAAATAATTATAAAAAGAAAACATCTTAATTAAAACTTTTAAGTGCAATGACATAATTACCTATGTTTCTGTTATCTACCATAATATTTCTGGTATTTAACATACATTTGTATATAGCGAATAATTATTATCGTTTGAAGTAAATCTTTCTAGTATATAAATTTTTTCACATATGTTGTTCTTTATCGCTAACCGGGGCAACATTTTTGTAGATCATAAAAGCTTCGGGATCGTATTTATCGGTACTGCTGGCAATGAAATAAGCGCGTCGTAATGTATATCTTTCCTAAATATTAGTCACCAAGTAAACAAGATCATATCTGTTGATTTTTCTAATTAAGAAAACATATTAGGACACAGTATATACATACGTATATACATATATACATACGTATACATATATTATTGTATATATGTATATATATGTATGTATGTGTGTAGGATGTACGTACATGTACACACACACACACACACATAAATATTTTTTAAATCTATACTTCTAGACATCAACGTAATATACATAGTTAATAACTATAAACAGAAAATTGTAACATAAAAGTCATGACATTCTTCTTGCTAGTTTGAGAAAAATTATATAATGTACTTCTATAGCTTCTGTAGGACACAATTTCTGTACTCTTCAAATATATTTATGCGCATATGAACACATTCTACACATATGCATTTTTGCCTATGCATTCTACGCACTAGTTGATTTTATATAAATATTACCACTATAAATATAAATATTATCCTGCACCAATGCGCTGCAAACTGCCATGCATGCGAGATTTTCGTAACACTAGGGTTTCTCCGCTGCTTCTCCGCTACTCCAGCGCATGAACTTGAAAACTTTTCCGGAGTGCGCTAAAATATGACTGAACGTCGGACGTGTACGTCGCCACGTTCGCGTTCGCACGAATCATTGCATATTTAAATACACGATTACATCATCGACGTCCAAGGGAAGGAGAGATGACCCTACGTGTTCTCCCTCTTCTTGTATCAATGTTGCGAGAAGTTATGGTGCGTACACAAGCGAGGGCTGCATATGACGCGAAAAAAAAATTAATGAGATACTTCCATTGGTCGATCCTGGTAGGCAGCGTCCATTTGATGATCTCGTAGGACTTCCCTGTCTTTATGTAGATATTCCAGTTCAGAATACACATCAAAAGTCCTCATTGGCAAATACGTTGAGTGACAAAGAGAGAAAGATAAAAAAAACCACAGTTCTTTCACCTTCCTGAAAGAGCGTTTGTCCTGTTAAGTATAAATCAATACTATCCCTCGCTTAAAAAAGAGAGCGAAAGAGAAATAAATTATAATTACGACGCGTAGAAGTACAATTACCTAAGAAGAACAGAAAAGTCAAAATGATGCCAATGTAACATCATATCGACCAAATCTGCGACATTTACTGGTCAATATGACGTTAAATTAATATCATTTTGACATTTCTGTTCTCCTTGGGTAATCACACGTTACATTTTATGTTCACTCTGTGCGATATATGATCAGGCACGTCACGTATTATGATCTGCAAAGCGTAAAAGATTATCACGTTAGCACGAGATGAATTACCATTATCTTTTAATGCATATAAACTCTAACGATCTTTTTAATTTGATGTAGCGTTTTAGTAGATTTTTAACGCAAATAAAATTTACGGTTAAATTGATTACATTCTTGCTGAATGAATGGTAACGCTATTTTTAATATATATATGTGTATGTATATAATGTAATCAATTTAATCGTAAATTTTATTTGCGTTAAAAATTTACTAAAACGCTACATCAAATATATATATATATATATATATATATATATATATATATATATATATATA